ATTAGTGACTATCAGCTAGACACCATAATAAGAGGGTATACCTCACGCCACGGGGTAACTACCGGTCAATCCTATATTATTGGGTACGTGCGGTCCTTAGGGTACCTTGTGCAACGGGATCGAGCGCGCGCTGCCATTAATAGAGTGGATCCCGAAAACACTGCTTTGCGATGGGCAGTGGTAATAACGCGTAGAGTTTACAGTGTACCGTGGCCTAATTCGTTATGGAATATAGATGGACACCACAGCCTTATACGGTGGGGCTTTATAATTCATGGTTGTATAGACGGTTTCTCAAGAATTATTACTTTTCTTAGGTGTTCCACAAACAACCGATCAGATACTGTTATGTCTTATTTTGAGGATGCCATTAGCCAGTACGGTTTACCATCTCGTGTACGGGGAGATCACCGTGGTGAAAATGTTTTGGTTGCCCAGTTCATGACCCAAGAGAGAGGTGAGGGGAGAGGAAGCTTTATAGCTGGGCCCTCTACCCGTAATCAACGAATAGAACGTCTCTGGAGGGATGTATTTAGGTGCGTATGTTCTCTCTTTTATGGTGTTTTTTACGCGTTAGAGGAAGGAGGATACTTACATACCAGCAATGACATTGAAATGTTTGTATTGCACTTTATATTTGCGCCACGAATTAATCTAGCCCTAAGTGAATTTTGCAGCGCATCAAATTTACGACCAGTGAGAACTGAACACAACTGGTCACCAAATAGATTGTGGGTGAATGGTATGATTAACCGCCACTATGTGGATCCTGCCTTGAATGAGCCAACGCCCTCTGACCTGGAATATTATGGCAATGATCCAGAGGGACCAGCTTCACTGGAAGAACATGGCTCAGTGGAAGTTAGTGACATTGTAAGCCCCTCGATGAAGACGAGTTTGCAGAATTTGCTCAATTTGTTAATCCACAAACCGAATCAGAAAGCTATGGCATTGACATATTTATGAGGGCCCTTGAAGTTATAAGAACAATTCGACAAAGAAATATCTGAACTAATGTTTCTTTTTCAAAGAAAATAAACATCTGCACATGTAAGTGAATGGGAAATTTGTGAGAATTTGACACAAATTTGTTCTATGAGAATTTGTTCAAACAGTAGCAATCTTAAGTCTTTGAAATGAAAATTACAGCATTTTTGTCATTAGGTTTTATTGGTTAAAACAGAGATATAATCTTTGACACCAACTTTATATCAGAACTATATAAGATGAGATCAGATGAGATAAGATATAAACTTTTCTTTAGCGTATTTACTTAGCCAACGAAAACAACCTAGGGATACTAAATAGGACCAATATTGCACTCATTTCTTTAAAACCTATCTGATGGGAGAATACACCCATGCAGAAAGAAAGTGTGGGAGTGCAGTGGCCTAATGGTTAGTGCACTCATCTCCAGATCAAGCGGTCCAGGTTTGAGCCCTTGGGGGAGTAAAAATACTCCTAGCTAGTCGCTTCATGCTACAGAAACAGGGATAAGCTCCAGCCTAAGGGGCCACTATGTTCATATGCAGACTTAACTTTTACCTTTTTTAAAAACAGAGAAAAAATACAAGAAATCCCAGAAAAAAATCACATCTTTCTTACCTGTCTCATTACATTCATCTATAAACTGGAAAAGATAACCCCATATTTGGCGATGTTCATCAGAGGAAAGTGGACTCTTTGGCTTCAAGAGATCCTTAATAGCTGTAGCACTGTGCACAAAAAGAGTCTCAAACAGTGTTGGATTCCTCTCAATAGCATGTAGGACTTTGGAACTCTTTAGCCCAGAACGCAATTGGTCCAGCAACACTTTTTTCCGGTTAAGTACATAGTGTAAGAGAAGTGATTGCAGTATCAGGTTTCTGTTGTCATCCTAGCAAACCATAACAATACAAATGGAATGGCTTTACTATCTATCATCGCAAATTCCATTTGTGGGTGGGCTACTCTCCAAACTTTTAAAACCAGATTCTAAATCATTAACAAATAAGGACAACAAGGGTGGCATATATTCTACAACAATTGTATAACAATAAATAGGTCATAACATACCGATAGTCTTTGCTTTAACCACTACAGTCACACAGGAATAGAGAAGGGGGAAGGGCATGTTGAGTTTGACAGGTAATTAACTTTAAATTTATTCGGAAACACTGACTTTTGTCAACATTTCCAAGTGTGGATATGAAAAGAGATAACATATACAAATAATACAATAAGGAAAAAAATAGGAGGTACTATTTTCTATTTGCTAGTTTCACTTACTGACAGCAATGTTGAGATGCCACATTCATTACACAAGGAAATGAAATTTGAGTCTTGCCTTAACTCTTGGAGTTCAGGTGAGGTTGCACCAGACAACTATAGGATATAAAGAATTTATACTGTAGATTAACATGTTTCCCTGTATTTCCTACATTACTTTAAAAACTAAAGACCTGTGTGTAAGAACCTAGCGGTTTAAGAACCTGCTGGAAGAAATTTCCAATTTTGATGCCCCAAAATATAAGAACCTGTTTAGCCAAGCAAGATCAAGCAAGTTCTCACATGTGAGTTACAGTAAAATTATGATGAATACTGTAACAAGGAGTTTGACTTAACTGTATACTTATAAATGGAACCCAAGTTAATTTATTTTTCTGTGGGTAATGGAAGCAGTATTCAGTTCCGTCATAAAAATTTAAAATTTAACCAAGAACCTATTCAGCCTACATTGCCTACAATTAATTAAGGATCTTACACGCAGGTTTTTGGAGTAGTACCTTCTCTATGAACTCTCTTGCCTCTTCATCCCTAACATCATCAACTGTAACATAGCACAGAGCTTTATGGACATCATCTGTCGCAATATACCAGTACACTGGAGGAGCAAAGCAAGGAAATCCAATGAAAGACTGGAGTATACCACGCCCTATCAATCATCCAAGGACCTCCATTAGTCCTGAGTGAACTGATGTGCTGTTATAGACAGGGAGTTTCTTATGATCTGATCCTTCCAATAATTTGAAGGCTGGAAATGTTGCTATTGCTTTTGTGGCATCATTGAAAAACTCACGACGGATTCCACCTGTGTCAACAGCTGGCTGGCTCTTATACTGCACTCTAATACGCTTAGAAGCATCAAAGGCAGTAGAATTTTTGTAGAATGCAATAGTATCAGCTATAAGGTCATCTGGATCAATGGTGATCTTAATTTCAGGACCTATAATAACCTTGTCAGCAAGACTTTGTAGTACTTCTGCAAGAAAAACTGCTAAAAAAGACAAATAATGTTTCAGCTTTCTTCCATCCTGTGTATCATCACTTAGCTTTATGGTGATACTGTGGGGCATGTATGTGGTAATACCCTGGAAACTCCTATATCAAACCCAGTCAAAGTGTGTAACCACCCTCATTTCTCAAAATGAAAGATAACATTTCAACTGATTTAAGTGTTCATGCATATTTCTTACAATCTCACTCACAGAGCCCACATGTCTTTTGGTCAGCGCCAACGCATGCGCTGTGAAAAAGTCCTAAAACCTTGGACTAGAAATCGATTATTCCAGAGCTCTTTGTCTTCGTGCTGATCAAAAGACACGTGGGCTCTTGGAACAAGATTGTATTTCTTAAAAATCAAGCCGTAGAAATCAAACTGTAACACAGTAATAGGCATATCATTTTTCCAAAGGTCATCTACCTTCTTTTTGCAAAACCCACACTTTTTAAATAAAGTAAACATTTTTAACCTTGCTCCTTTTCACTCTTCAAAACTTCATCAATTGCATCTGGAAGGTCTAAAGAACCACTGAATATTTCTTTTAGATAGTCCTCATCGTGTTGTGGAAACATCTGACGAAGACATCTTATGCCCAGGTAAAATGTCAGGCGGGATATAGGCGGGATCCCGGCAATCCCACCCAGGATCCCAGGTGGGAATGGCGGGATCCCGCCCTAGGTGGTGGGATCCCACCTTTCCCACCTGGGATGAAAATTTGATCCCACCTGGGATCCCGCATTTAATGCGGGATTCCTGCATCCCACCCGGGATCTTAGGTGGGACTTATGCATTCTACCCGGGATCCTGGTCGGGATTTACATATCCCACCTGGGATTCTTTATCCCACCCACGAAAATATTGTTTTGCTGTTTTTACTCTTACAAAATATTTTTGTGAGAGTTCCAATACTTATGGATCATCCACACACTCCGCAAATATTTGGCATGCGGACAAGACAGAGGTGGTCACTGTTCCCTTCGAGAAAATACACCTTTTAAATGACTTCTTCAATTTGCTTTATTTGAAACTCTGATCTGAAAATATTTTAAAACAAGACTTGTTAGTAGTGAGAAGTACAAACCGAGTTTCTTTTCATTACTTAATTTCTTGAATGTCCCAATCACTGGACCTCCTAAAAAATATTACTTCTTTATATTTTTGGTGCAAAATACAATTCCTTCTTTACATACAAATGAAAAGTACAAGTCACAGTTCAATAATAACAGCTCTAAAGTTTACTTGTTGTTCTTCTCTGAGTCAGCGATCAACAAAATTTTTCTATACCTTGTAGGCCTGGTATAAAATTTTACTTGTAGTATAAAATGACAACCTTGTATCTTCGTCCTCTCCACCCCTTTCCAAGCTCGGGAACGCTTCGGACTGTGCATAACCATTAGCAGACGAGAATTCCAATGCACCTCTGTAATCGCATGTAGTTGCTTTTGTCTCTTGCGCAAATGTTTTCTCCGTTATGAGACGCACTTGACTCTGTTGGCACAACTGCTAGTTCAGTGGAAAGACCGACTGAGGAATCGAGATGGTTAGCTGTGTTGGAACGTGTTGCTGAACGCTTGTTGTGGTCAAGCCTTGTTGATTTGGGTACTGGTACACTGGGATCATCTAGGTATCTCTTACACTTCCTAATGTGATTGGCTTGTGTTGTTTCTCACCTTCGCCGTGAACATAACTCAAGTGGGTTTCGAGTCTTTCTTTCCTCGAAAACTTCTTGTCGATTATT